GTGGTTGATCTTGGTTGGGGTTGGTTGGGTCTTGGTTGGGTTGGTTGGGTTGGTTGGGTGCTTGGTCTTGGTTGGGGTTGGTTGGGTCTTGGTTGGGTTGGTTGAGTCCTTGATTTTTGTTGGGGTTGGTTGGGTGTTTGGTCTTGGTTGGGGTCAGTTGGGTGCTTGGTCTTGGTTGGTCTTGGTTGAGTCCTTGGTCTTGGTTGGGGTCGATTGGGTCTTGGTTGGGTTGGTTGGATCTTTGGTCTTGGTTGGTCTCACGGTTGGTTTTCCATTTTTATCCCATCATCGTCTTCGCCGTCATCTTCATCATCTCCATCATTTTCTGCATCCTCCTCCTTCTCCTCCTCCTCTTCCTCCTCCTCCTTTTCGTCCTCCTTCTTCTCCCCCTCCTCCTCCTCCTCTTCCTCCTCTTCCTCTTCCTCCTCTTCCTCCTCTTCCTCCTCTTCTTTCTCCTTCTCTCCCTCCTCCTCCTTCTCTTCCTCCTCTTCTTCCTCCTCCTCCTCCTCCTCCTTCTCCTCTTCCTCCTCCTTCTTTTCCTCTTTCTCCTTCTCTTCCTCCTCTTCCTCCTCCTCCTCTTCCTCCTCCTCCTCTTCCTCCTCCTCCTCTTCCTCCTCCTCCTTCTCCTTCTCTTTCTTCTCTTCCTCCTTCTCCTCTTCCTTCTCCTCCTCCTCCTCCTCCTCCTCCTCCTCCTCCTCCTCCTCCTCCTCCCCAGGAGAACCCGAGCGAGGAAGACGCCGCCATCGTGGACAAGGTTCTCTCCATGCGGGTGGTCAAGAAGGAGGTGAGGGGGGATTTTTTGGGGACAAAGGGACCTTTTTTGGGGTCTCCTGGAGCTCCTGATCTTCTTCCCGACCCTCTTCTTCCTCTTTTTCTTCATCATCTCCCTCTTCTCCCTCAGCTCCCGTCGGGGCAGTTGGTGGAGTGCGAGGAGTTCTTCGTCAAGTACAAGAACTAGTAGGTGTCTCAAAATACCTCAAAATGGACCTAAAAACCCCCCAAATGGCCCCAAAAATCCCCCCCAAATGGCCCCAAACCTGAAACTCTTCAGGTGACCCCAAAAACCCCCTGAAATGTCCCAAAAAACCTCCCAGAGTGACCCCAAAAACCCTCCAAAAAACCACCCAAACTGACCCAAATAATCACCTGAAACGTCCCAAAAATCTCTGGAATTACCCAAAAACCACCAAATTGACCCCAAAAATTCCCTGGGTGACCCCAAATCCTCCAAACGACCCAAAATCCCCCAAACTGACCCCAGAAAACCTCCCCGGGTGACCCCAAACTCTCTGAAACAGCCCCTAAAACCCCCCAAACTGTCCCCAAACCTCTCAAATTGTTCCCCAAAACCTCTCTGGGTGACCCCAAACCCTCTGAAATGGCCCCAAAAATCCCCCAAACTGACCCCAAAAACCACCTAAAATGTCCTGAAGACCTCTGAAATGATCCAAAATCCCCCAAACTGACCCCAAAAACCCTGAGACTGTCCCCAAAAACCCCTGAGCTGTCCCCAAAAGCCCCCAAAATATCCTTAAAACCTCCCCCAGAAGGTCCAAAAACCCCCCAAAAAACCCCAAACTGACCCCAAAAACCCTCCAAATTTCCCAAAAATCCCCCAAATGCCCCAAAATCCCCGGAATTGAGCCCAAAACCGTCCCCCAGCTCGTACCTGCACTGCGAGTGGGCGACGGTGGCGCAGCTGGAGCGAGACAAGAGGATCCACCAGAAACTCAAACGATTCAAGACCAAGATGAGCCAGATGAGGCACTTCTTCCACGAGGTTTGGGGCAAAAAATGAATATTTTGGGCAAAAATTGGGGTTTGGGGGGAAAAATGGGGGGTTTGGGGGAAAAAATCAGGGGTTTAGGGGAAAAAAGGGGGGATTTTGAGTGGAAAATTCTGATTTTTGTGTGTTTGGGGCTGAAAAATGGAGGTTTGGGGGGAATAAAGGAGGTTTTGGGTGGAAAAATGGGGGGTTTGGGGGCTGAAAAATGGGAGTTTTGAGTGGAAAAATGGGGGTTTGGGTAAAAATTGTGAGTTTTGGGGAAGAAGAGGGTTTTGGGTGGAAAAATGGGGGTTTTGGGTAAAAAATGGGGGTTTGGGTGGAAAAATGTGGGGTTTGGGTAAAGAAATTGGGGGATTTGGGTAAAAGTAGGAGTTTTGGGGAGGAAAAAGGGTTTTGGGTGAAAAATTGGGGGTTTGGGGTGGAAAAATGAGGGGTTTGGGTGGAAAAATGGGGGTTTGGCAAAAAAAATGGGACTTTTGGGTAAAAATTAGGAGTTCTGGGCAAGAAAAGGGTTTTGGGTGAAAAAATGTGGGTTTGGGTAAAGAAACGGGGGGGTTGGATAAAAGAAAGGGAGTTTTGGGTAAAAATTAGGAATTTTGGGCAAGAAAAGGGTTTTGGGGGAAAAAATGGGGGTTTGGGTAAAAAATGGGGGATTTGGGGTAAAATAAAGGGGGTTTGGGTAAGAAAAGGGGTTTGGAGGGAAAAACGGAGAGTTTGGGGAAAAATGGGGGGTTGGGGGCAAAATTGGGAGTTTGGGGCAAAAAACGGGGAATTTGGGCAAAGAAAAGGGGTTTGGGGAAAAACCGGAGAGTTTGGGGTAAAAAATTGGGGGGTTGGGGCAAAAAATGGGGGATTTGGGCAAAGAAAAGGGTTTTGGGTGGAAAAACAGGGGTTTTGGGTAAAAAGAAGGGGATTTGGGGGAAAAATGGGGGGAGTTTGGCTGGAAAACTTGGATTTTTGCTCAGAAAAAATGGGAGTTTGGGGCTGAAAAATGGGATTTTTGGGAAAATAAATGAGATTTTGGGTGGAAAAATGGGGGGTTTGGGGGAAAAATGGGGGGTTTTGGGTTGGGAAAATCCATTTTTTCGGGGTTTTTGGGTCGGGAAAATTCATTTTTGGGGGTTTTGATCCCAAAATTCCGTGTTTTTGTAGGATGAGGAGCCGTTCAACCCCGACTACGTGGAGGTCGATCGGATCCTGGACGAGTCCCACAGCGTCGACAAGGACAACGGGGAGGTGGGGAACCCAAAATTCGGGGGGGACTGAGGGGTGGGGAGACCCCAAAATTGGTGGGTTTGGTGGCGTTAGAGCTCCTAAAAATCAGATTTTTGATGGTTTTGAGCTCCAAAAATCAGATTTTTGATGAATTTTGAGCTCTAAAAATCTGATTTTTGCTGGAATTGGGGGGAAAAATGGGGGTTTGGGTGGAAAATTTGATTTTTTCTGGGGAAAAAATGCGGGTTTGGGGCCGAAAAATGGGGGTTTGGGGAGAAATAAATGAGATTTTGAGGGAAATAAATGAGATTTTGAGAGAAATAAATGAGATTTTGGGCTGAAAACAGGGGTTTGGGCGGGAACTGAGTTTTTTGACAGATCTGAGAGTTTTTTGCCCTAAAAATGATGTTCCTGCTGGATTTGAGCCTGGTAGACACCAAAAATGATGTTTTTGATGGACTTTAGTGTGGTAGAGCCTTAAAAAATTAGATTTGTGAATCTGAGCTCCAAAAAATCAGATTTTTGATGGATTTTTGAGCTCTAAAAATCAGACTTTTGATGAATTTTGAGCTCTAAAAATCAGACTTTTGATGGATTTTGAGCTCTAAAAATCAGA